TATGTCCCAGTCCTTCTGTTGGCCCAATGTTTTTACACACCAGTTCTGCAGCCAGCTTTAAAAAAGTAAGGGAGTTATTTTCCACATTCTAGAGCAGTGCCTACACGTAGTATTAGGCCTCATCCTGCCTTATAAAAGATCCTTTCAGGTTTCAATCCAGCCTTGGAATAAAAACAGAGGAGTAGTATGTGTTTGTTCTGAGAAAATCCTGCCAACTTGAGCTAGAAATGCCTCTGATTGAAACAGAGAACTACAGTAGAGCAGTGATCCACTCGAGGTCTGCCCCAAACCTCTAAAAACACTTCTGCTCTTGGAAAATATAGAACAAAGACTAATGAAAATGACTCGCAAGGTAAATAGAAGGGGTTTGGGGCTTGGTTTATTTTAAGCTGCCCTGGTTATATAGAATCCACCTAGACTCAAAGAGATGGAAAGGAGATAACTCTTGGACTTAGCAGACCTGGATCTTGTCCTTAGCCCCAGTCCCTTCTGCTGTTCGGAAGGTGGAGGGCGTAGGAAGAGAGTGTGAATAACATTCCTCCTTGTAACCTTGGCTGGGCAACACTGAAGCTGTGTCAGAAAGCCTCCACACAGTGTATGCAATGTCCCAATGATCTCAGAGACCCTTTGCTCTAGGAGTGCAAAATCAGGAGTGTTCCTCTCACACCCGACATGGCCCCAGGCTTCTGTCCTCTCCCTGAGTCTAGCCCTGCCTCAGGCCACGGAGAGAATGGCCTGGGAACATTGAAATCAGGTGCAGATGGTGGAATCTGGACGGGGGGGGGCATCTCTGAAAGAGGATGAAGGAGGTGAGGACCCCTTTCCAGGAACAGGATGGTGTAGTGGGACAAAGACACTCTAGTATGCCCTGATCTGGCACAAGGGAGTTGACAGTGGCGTCCAGCAGGGCTAAGGGGGCAATGCTGTCCTGAGAAAGCCAAAGGGAGGAAGAATGGCCATGCAGACCAAATGAGGGAGGGGGAGTGGACCCACACTGTAAATTACACCACTGATGTGGGGTTGTACAGAGCCGAGCCATAGGGTTGTGCAGACCCAGTGGGGTTGTACAGAGCCATGGGATAGAATGGCCTTTGGCCCCTACCACCACCTCCTTGCTCTGAACCCTGGGGCAGGGCACAAGGAACTCAGTAGTTTAAGGCACAGCCCTTCTCACAGAGGTCCAGTGTGATCCAAAACTGCTGGTGCAGTCACTGAGTCCTGAGTGCCCTTCCAACTAACAGCTGGCATTGTTTAGGAAGCTGAGGAGTGGCAGTATTGTGTGCACTTCCCATGGCTTGACAGGTTGGCAGGAGTCCTACTTTGGAGCACTGGCACCACATTAAGTCTCGTAGTCCTGTGAGTGGGTGGGTTGGTGGGTGGGGCTGAACATGCAAGATTTCAGTCCTGGAGAGTCCATAGGGAGGACCTCTTATCCTCCTCGACCCCTGTTCAGATCGAGCTAGCCCAGACTCAGTCCCTGGCAGTACTGACCCAGGCGACAACTCCCACAGTTCACCCGGAGCCTGACTGTCAGGCCGGGGGAAGGTGCCCCCGAGCAGGGCTTCGAGGCAGCTGGGGATCTGGAGGAGTTGCCCAGGCTTCTGAGTTCACCATCAGCCTTCTGGTCTACCCTGACTCCTCCCCTCTGCTCTCTTTCTTCCCTTGAGTCCATGCATTTCCTTCATTCCAAAAGTGCTTCCTTTCTCTCAGGCAGTGTAGAGACCCCTTAAGGGATGGGGTGCCATGCCTCTGATTGACCTGTAAGATGAGAACTGCCAGTCCTCGAAAGACAGGTACATGTGATGAAAGCAGAAACTGAAACTTGGATATCTTTCAACAGCACTGGACAAAACCAGTGGAGCTGTTTAATCCTGAAGTTCTCTACTAACATGATTGAGAGCAAAGCTACCCTGAAGACCTACCCTTCAGCAAACCCTCCCCCAGGACAAGTCACTAAACATCAAAGAAAATGTTCATGGATACTATGAGGACTGAAATAATGCAATTATACGTTGATTATAAGATAAATGCCAAGCACTATTAATAAAAACAGCATATGATAACACCCAAACATCTGTATCACTGCCAGCAAACTCCAGAACACCAAAGGCAGAGAAAAGACATTTAAAGCAGCTAGATACCCAGACATGCTGACAAAGGGGAAGTACCTCACCTGGTTGTTGGCCACTCAACAGGAACAACAAAAGTCACTTCAATAGGATAATATGGAAAGCTCTAGAACACAGTGCTGAAAGTTACTGCTGAGGAAAAAGAAAGACATTTTCTGATAAACTAACTACATCTAACTGATTTACTAGAGAAACCACTAGTAGTTGCATTTTAGAAAGAAAATAAACTCAGAAGAAAGCTAGAAAATGCTTATGATTCAGCATAGGAAAGAATTTCTTAAACTTAACAAGAAAAACACTAGCTATATAAAGGGAAATATTGAACTATCTCATTGCTTTAAATTCTAGAACACAGTTCATCAATCTGGCCCCAGGAAATGAAAAGTCTTCAAGTAATACCATTTATAATAGTTCCCCCAAAATGAAATATTTAGCTATGTTTATAAAAAAGGTATCAATTTCAGCCTATCTATATTTAGCATACTTATTTGCTAAAATATTGATAAAAATAAAATCAAGCATATCTTAATAATTGGAGATTTTTAAAAAAAGGCTAACCTGGCTGAAAAGGAAACCAGTTTCATGGTTTGGAAGATTCAACATGGGTAAGAGGTTTTAATCTCCCCCAATTTGACCTATAGATTTACCAGAGCCCAAAAGCAACAGAGATGTATTGTAGATATTGACAAGCTGATCCATGAAAAGGAAGCAGAACTTGGAAAGGGGATGAACAGTGTCCTGAGAGAGGCAGATACAGGAGCCTCCTGCACGGACACCTCTTTAGATTACAATTGTGTAGAAAGTCTAACATCTGTTTATATGACTCCTTCAAACCATAAAGCCTGTTACCACCCAGGCCCACCCCCAAATATCCAGGGGTCTTACGATCTCCAATAAGTTGTTCTTCACAAAATTACTTTATGACTTTATGGGCCAGATGGCTAGCACAGGGGTTAAAGGACATTGGAGTCAGGCGCAGATGGTGGAATCTGGAAAGGGCATTCTGAAGGAGGATGAAGGAGGTGGGGAACCCCTTTCCAGGTACAGGAGGATATGGTGGGAAAAAGACACCCTAGTATGCCCTGGTCTGGCACAAGGGAGCTGATAGTGGCATCCAGTGGAACAACCCTGGTTCCATCCTTGGCACCACATATGGTTCCCTGAATACTGCCACGAGTGATTCATGAGCACAGAGTTAGAAGGAAGCCTTGAGCACTGCTAGGTATGGCCCAAAATTCCCCCCAAGAAACCAATGTAATTTTATAACTACCAAAGGTAAGCATTGGTATTCACAGTGTGAGATACAGAACATTCTCTGTCTCTCTGGATGCCTCTGTTCCCATGCCTACAACCTATCTGTGTCAGAAGGAGCACTTGTAGGAGGTTTGAGGGGGATCTTGGAGGACTAGGGGCTAGCAGTGAATTAAGATTTGGTATGTATTGGAAGCAAAGCAAACAGTGCCAGGACTGGGGGCACAGGGCAAGGGAGGTGCCTCAGGTATGATCCTCATTAAGGATCTCATCAGGGGGCCCTGAAATGAAGGGGTCCTCTACAGAGGAAAACATAGAGACAGCCCACCAGGCAGTTGTGGAATGGGGTGCAGGGCCACAGATAAAAATGGGTCAGAAGTAGCACTAGGCACATCAGCCATTAACACCCCAGATCAAAGAGCAGGGAGCAGAGGCGCCAGGAGGCCTGTACAAGAGTTGCTGAGAAAACTGAGTCAACTTGCCCCAAACCACCTATGCTCACATTGCCACACCACTAATTGGACCCACTGCTGGGTCATTGTTCCATTCCTGAACTCAGCCAACAGGGGCAAGTCCAGCATCAAAGCCAATGGGGGCAGAGACCAACTAGGCCAGAAGATTTGATTTCTCCACCAAAGGGACTCTAAATGGCCCTGTAGCTGCCAGCTAAGAAACCTGGCTGCTTTGTCCTGGAGGTGCTGATCCATGCCACAGGTTAGGTTGGCACAGTGAGTGGTGTCGAGGCCAGGAGAATGGTCACAGTGCAAGTGGCTATCAGGAGCACATGGCATCATGGTGCCTGCTTGACGGGGTCAGGCGTGGTTCACTAAGGACTCCAAGTCCTTTTTGCTTTATTTACTTACTTGTTTATTTGTGTTGGCTTTGGTGGGGGTGGGGGGTTCATTCCCAATGGTGCTCAGGGGCATCGGGAGTCCCTCACAGTGTTGCTCAGGAGAATTACGCAAATATGGGGGTCAAACATGCAACACATGTGCTTCTCTCTCCAGGGTTCTTATAGACACTGACAATGGGCCAGGGATGTTCTCATGGTGGCACATGTGCTTCATGTTCGTGGGATCCTGGGTTTGATTCTCATTACCACACAACAAGAAAAGCACAACATCAACAACAACCTATGCTTGCTGTTCACTCCTCCCTCCCTCCTACTCCCATAACCAAAAGGGATAGAGAGAGTCACAACTCTTCCCAGCCTGCATAGTGGGTTCATGTGGTCAGAGCTATAGACATCTCAAAAAAGATCCAAAATCTGCATCTTTCATAAGAAATATCTGGCTGTAAATGCTGACAACTTATTTAGGAGTGTTTTACAAACTTTATATCCTAACACTGTTTGGGCGGGGGGGACGGACATAGTTACAGGTCAAATATGGCCAAGTTCTTCCATTATTCTTTCTCTGTGTTTCCCTTGGGTTTTCTGGGAGGACCTGTGTTGACTGTGTGTCAGGGACTCCTTCCCCCATTTCCCTTCTGGATTCCCACCCAACTTCACCTGAATTGTGTGAAGCAGAGACACCGAGGAGAAGAGAGACACCTGCAGAGAGAACATATCCACACCGGCCGCTAATGCTCCTTCCCTTCTTGTCTGGTTTTCTCTTGCAGATATTTGGCTTCTGGGTCTGGATCTTTGTGGCCGCTACCCAAGTTGCCAACCCATTGCTGCAAGGATGGGTGATGTATGTGTCCCTCACCTCCTTCATAATCTCACTGATGTTCCTGCTGTCTTACTTGTTGGGATTTTACAGGATATTCGACTCCTGGAAAGTCCTGGTGAGCACCACAAGCATAACCCCAACTCCCCACACTGGGTGTGGGGAGACCCCGGGCCCTTTGGTCTGGGATGATGAACCAGAGGCCTTTCCCAGGTCCAGCAACCTGTGGAGGTGATATTGGAAGGTGGGGAGGATGATATTGAGTTGTTGGTTTGTTTTGAAATAGATAGTTTTGTTTAGAAAGCAGTTTTATTTGACTTCAGTGTAAAAACACACTTCTTCCTCGCTTCTCTGCCTGGGGGGAATCAGTTGTGTTGTACTCCATGGCCTTTCTTGTAAAGAAGTTACACAGTCTGCATATACCCGTATGAGGCCCCTCCTGACAAGTGCCCCCAGCCTGCATCCAGTCCTGGAGTAACAGAGAGATGCCAGTGGGGCACAAGGGCCCGATAACAGGTCCTTTCCCAACCAGCTCCTTCATTCCTCCACAGCCTCTCTTTTACATAGCATGTGAAGGCTCAGTCACACTGCACCAGAAACCAGGGTGTAGATTCTTTTCTTTAATACTGTGCCTTTCTGTAGTGCTATCACATCATCTTGATCATTTGTGACAGTTTGAAACTTTCAAAAATAATTGGAAATTAATACGATGGACCATCATGGAATCTTTATACCAGAATTGTCAAGATTTTTTACTACATTTCCTTCATTGGTCCTTTTTTTTTTTGGTGGGGGAACCCACTGGAAATTCTTGGTAAACCAGGCTGGTGGTTCAATGCAAGGGCCTAAGGATGAGGTATTGTTTGGACTCTGTGGTGCCAGGGATTACCCAGACCATCCTGGCAGGGCTGGGACCTTCCAGGGTTGCACCCGGGCATTCTCAAGAGATCCAGTGGTGCTGGAGATGGAACCTTGGTTGGGTGTATGTAGGCAGCACTTTAACCACATACTGTCTCCTAATACCAGCTCTTTTTTTTGTCAGTGAAGAATTTTAAAGCAACCCCATAGTGTTATTGCCATTTTATACACTCTATGCTCCAGAAAGCATACAAATATTTACATTCTCTCTCTCTCTCTCTCTCTCTCTCTCTCTCTCTCTCTCTCTCTCTCACACACACACACACACACACACACACGCACACTCACAAACACACACCTGAGTGATTCTCAGGTTTCATTTCAGACTCAAATGTATCCCCAGTATCTGAACGATCTGGCACTTGGCCCACTTGAATCAGTGCCATGCATTGCACTGGGAGGTGACAGTTCTTGGGTTCCCTGAATCTGGCATGACTTTCCCTGCCAGAAACTGACTAAGACCTGTCAGCTGTCCTGGGGCTGTTCCCCATTTTGGATTTGTCTTCTGACTTCTTACGTGCTCTTCTAGTTGCTGGATTTTCCTGGAAACTAGAAGTTAGCATGGAAGATTTACAGAAAATGAATTAGGCCTTTATGGCAAGAATGCCTGAAAGTGGCTCCAAGTCACCTCACACATGACTGGAACAGCCTTCTTCCCACCAACTTTGTCTCTAACGCTTCCTTTCAACTCCTGGTTCATCTGCCCCAGCTGGATACTTCATTAAAGGATGAAGAATGCCAGTTTGCCTATTCTGACATTCCTGTTACCTTGATTATTGCTTATTACAACAAGAATCCTCCAGACTTGATAATCTTTTAAATGACTATATGACATGATTTTCTCTGTTTTGTTTGGTATATCCCCCAAACCTGGTGGTGCTTAGTGGGCCATGTGGTGTCAGAGTTGGACCACAGGTCTCTACATGCCGGGCAGCCCTTTGTGCCATCTCTCTGACCCCTACATGTAATTCTTGCTGAGTTTAACACTGCATAGAGATGCAAACGCTAAAATAAAATTAGATCTGCTTGACCCTGCCAACTCCACCATGTGTTAGCTGAGCCTCAGTTTCCTCATCTGTCAACCAGGGGCTGTAGTGATTGCAGCCTTATGAAATTAAATGTAGAAGTGAAATGAAATGATGTGTGCATGTTATTAGGACAGTGACCAGTACAGAGAAGGTCTCTAGAGCACTCTGGTTTAAAGAAAGATTCAGAACTCATGAGGCGAGGCCTCAAGTCCTGGCTCTGCTATTCATTTATTGACCTTGACTTGAGTTTCCACTTCCTCAGTGCTCAGTAGCACCTACTCCATCGTTGACAAGGTAAAATAAGAATAATGAGGGAAAAAGGTTTAGTGTGAAGGTTGGCACAGAGGGACAATCACCCTTGCTGGCCAGACTTGGCCAGCAAGTATTTTTACTATTGATTCATCCACTCTTGTCTGTTGCTTCTGCACTAGAATCACTGGTAACAAAAGGAACCAGCAGGCTGGGGAGCAGGTTGTGTCTTTTCTCCTCTTCCCAGATGTTTGGTTAGAGGGGAGAGTGCTCTGCTCTTTGGCACCCACGTCACAAGATTGTGGCCTCTCTCTGCCTTTCCAGAATAGCTTGTACCAGGGCACCACCAGCATCCTGTACATGAGTGCAGCCGTCTTACAAGCGCACGCCACCATCGTCTCTGAGGCGGAAAATATCAGTCATTACTACCTGAACACGGCTGCTACGGTGAGAGCTCCGAGGAATGTGCACGGCTCCCGGCAACGCGCCAGTGGGGGCTAAAATCTGTCTCTTGCGGAACAGATGCCACGGACTGAAAAAGGCTAGGAACAAGGGAGGAGGGGTGTGTGTGTGTGTGTGTGTGTGTGTGTGTGTGTGTGTGTGTGTGTGTGTGTGTATACGCATGCGCACATGCATGTGGGGAGGAGAGCTCAGGCATGTGCCTGTGTGTGTCTGTGCTTGTATCTGACCATGTGTCTGTGTGTATGTGTATCACCACAGGCCGGAGAGAAATTAAGAGCACACCAAGTGTGTGTGTCTGTGTGTGTGAGGGGGGGGGGGAGGGAGGGAGAGAGGGGGAGAGAGAGAGGAAAGGAGAGAGAGCGCATGCACAGGTGAACACAGCTAGCTGCTCAAGTGCATGTCCAAGTGCAGGGGTTATCTCTTGTCATCTGATTTTTCCACCCAACCTCACTCTCTCTTCCTTCTACTAAACGCCAGCAGAATTAACCCCTGTGCCCCCAAACACACATCAGAGAACAGCTGTAAACACCTCTCCATGGTTCCCACTGCTTGCAGAATCTCTGCAGAACAGACCGTCCGGGGTTTTTATTTCAGGTGGACAGGGCAGCCTGTTGGCTATGGGAACCCTCAGCAAGGGGGTATAGCCAAATTGCAGGACCACCTAGACTTACGTCCCTTAGGACCCTCAATGCCAGTTTAGCCTCCCCTTTTCATCTCTCTCAAGTGCCTCTTTCTTTCCCCAGGTGCACTGACACCCCTCCCCCAAGGCAGGGAGCAGAATGCACATGGGTAGAAGATTGCCTTCCACGATTTCCCCCCACCCTGATCCCTACAAGAGCCCCCCTTTCCATCAGCCCTGAAAACTGCCAGAGAAAGACACTAATGTCTGAACGGGGTCTCAGCCAGTCCTGAAAACTGCCGGAGAAAAACTAATGTCTGAGCAAGGTCTCAGCCCGATCCAGTGTGGCAAGAGAGCTGGCACCCTGGCTTAATCTGGGCTCTGACACAGGCACCAGCTGACCGGAATCAGGTCATGGAGAGTTGTGTCCAGTGTTAGAGGGGGCTGCCAAGCTAGCACTGGGTACCACTTCGCACCAGGGGAACCAGAGGTGTTTCAGCTGCCTATAATCTGTCTCTGGCTTTGCCTCTTCATTTATCTCCCTGGAACTCAAAACTTCAGCAGTGGGCCCTGTACCCGCCATGATCAGGTACAAACCTGCCTTCCCCTGCTCAACTCAATTTGGTCGGCAAGGCCTTTTCTGGCCTCCTCCCCCATTCTCTTTCCTCCTAGCACTCTTCCCAGCTAACCTACTTCCTTCCCGCTTTATCCTGTTGACTTCCTGCTTCCCCACGGACCTGCTCATGCCACAAGACCAGGAATGTTTTCATGTGTTGTCCACTGGTGTAGGCACTTCTTAGTCTTCTCCAAGTCTTGTGGGTATCTAAAGGGGCATGCGTTGAATGAATACATGAAGCAGAGGGTGATGAACATGGGACCATGGGGGTAGGGGAAGTGGTGGGCTGGAGGCGTGTGAAGCTGGAGACATTCAGGGTGGTTTTCCATGTGTGGTGGGAATGACATGACCTCAGTTTCCTCCTGGGGGAAGATCAGAGAGGTGGCGGAATGGGCAGGAGTAGGGGAACCCTGAGGTCTTCTTGCGACGAGGGAAAAGTTGAACCTAGTAAAGGTTCTGCAGCCAGTCCAAGCTGTGCCCGCTGAGTCTCTGGGCTGCTGAGAGCTGGGGAGGGCTCTGGGGATCCGCGATCTGCTGGAGTGCAGAGTTCTGGGCTAGTGAGCAAGTCAAGGAGAAGAAAGTCTTCAATGAAAGAGGTGGGGAATGTCTAGGTGAGAGGACAGTATGGAAAGAAAGAGAGAGAGAGAGCCCAGAGGTGGGGACAGGCCCTCTCTAGAGCCAGAGGGGACAGTTCTGCAGAGGAGATGGACAGGGTGGACATGGGGAGCATGGGCTCAGGTGGCCTTGTTAGCAGTGGCTAACACAGAGCCTCCCAGACAGCAGGGGGCAGCACTGGGTGCCAGCCACGTCTAACACAGACCTTCTCCCATCTTCTTCCAGTTCTTTGCCTTTATAACCACCCTCCTCTACATCCTCCACTCCTTCAGCCTCTACTACTACTGAGAGGAGAGAGGCTTTTTCACCGCCTGGATTATTGGGTCCCCAAAGTAGCTTTCAATACTCACCCTCCGGATGATCAAAAACAAGAAACAGAAGGCCACCCACTTAATGAACAGAGCCACTGTGAAGACGGAGCAATGGTATCCTGCTCTGGCATATCTTCTTGGTTCCTGATGAAGAGGAGAATGTGGTTCTTTCCTTCTGCAGTCGCCTGTCTCTTGGCATTGTCTGGTGGTGAACATTGCTCCCCTGGAAAGCTCTCACCGAAGTGTTTGCTGTGGCGAATTCCGGACCCCCCACCTCGGGTGCCTGGTAGGAGGTTCTACCTCAGCAGCAAGGTTGCCCATGGTCTGTGTCCAGAAACATTCAGTCAAACTTGTTTGAAAATTGAAATGGTGCTGTCACTGTATTCAGACCCCGAGACCACAGACCTTACTCCCTACCCCTTGTTCCACAGTTCTGCCTCTGTTTGTAGTGGCCCCTCCTTATCCCTAAACCAGCTCCCCATCCTCCAGCCCCTTCTCCAGCCCCCCTCGACCAGCCACTATACTGCCCTGCCCTTCCTCTTAACCTTCCCTTTCCTCCCTCCTTTCAGATGCAAGGGAAACTGGTATAAAATCAAATTTAAGGGTCACTTTCTGAGGAAAATAAAGAGCTGGCTCTACAAAAGCGCTATCCCGTGAGATTGAGGGTGGGAGGCTCAGGGGAGGAATGGATTGGTCCCTTGTCCCAGAGCCTGGCTACACCAGCCAATGCCAGGCCGCCACTACCCCACCGGCTCATTCCTCAGAAAAGAATATTGATGATAGAAACAAGATATCAAGAACAAGGATGGTTCTCTGAGCTCCTACCACACCAGGTAGGACATATCAGAAGACACAAGGAGGGCCCCAGGAACCCCTTCTGTATCACCATCTTCTTGCATGTCTGGACGACTGTCACCTGAGTGGGACTTAGGTCTGCTCAGGCAGTGGAGGGCTTCTGTACATGCAGAAGCTGGTGCACTGGACCTTCTCAAAGACAGGTTGGCATTGACCACACAGAAATGTAAGTTTGATTGCAATTTCCAAGTCAATGATTTCCAGAAAGAAGCTGGGCTTGTTGGTGTGTGTCCACCTGTATAGCGGAAGTTACAGTCCTTATCCCCATCTGCACAGTGGTGGTCATGACAGTGCGAGGAGGATCCAGACCCTTAAACACACTGCCTGCTGGAGCTTGAAATGCAATAAATTATTCTGTGAAAGGGACTTGTCTTCTGTTGTTCATATCAACTTTTGGCTGTTCCTGCAAGGTAAGAGCAGTGCACCCAGTGAAGGAGAACTCTGGCTTCACTTTTGCTGGCCGGTCCTTTTCTAACCAGTCATTCCAACCTCTTGAAAAGTCTTGAATTTCTCTCTCCTTTTATTGCTGGGAGCTGCTGGGATGGTCACAGTTCAGTTTTTTACCCAGAGGCCACATCCCAACAAAAAACATTTGTCTAGTCAAAGTATGGAGTTACCACTTTTATGATGCTGCTGTTATAGAGGAATTGGGAAATGCTAGATCCACAAGACCTTGGATCCCTCACTTGTATGTGAGATCTGATGGTCTGGGTCCACAAACCCTCATTTGCAATGGCATATGCAACCTCATTTGCATCGGTCAGTTTCACGAACCCTCATTTGCATAGTTACTTCCTGTAACCAATCAGACCGAAAGATCGGGATGAATAACCTATATAAGCTTAGGTCAGGTCATGGTCTGGTTATGGTGAGCTGCAGTGTGGAGAAGCTGTTGGAGCTGCAAAGCTGTTGACACTGGAGCGCCTGGTGGTTAGCACTTACTCAACACTCACAAGAACCCAAAGGAAGCCCAGTAGCAGAACACTGGACCAGCCCTCTTTTCAGCGGCCAAGAAAGCAGTTAAACAGGAAGCACCTTTAGATGCAAATAAGATCCAGCCCCCTACCTAGGGGAGGTGGGAGGTGGGACTGCTGTGCTTGTAGTCACAGGGGAAGTTGAGGGTTTGAATTTGGGGGTGGGGATATCAATTCCAGTTTGGACAGCTGGATTGCAAGTTCCAGAAACCAAATTCATGCAATTTAAGTTGGGGTCTCAAGGGCAGGACGTGTAGATGCTGCCCTTTTCTCCACTACACCGTCACCCCCTGATCACTGTGACATACCCCCGCCTTGAGAACAGAGCTTTGACTTCACCTGCGGCTGGCCCACATTACTGGTGGGAACACCTAAAGCACCCCGCCAGGCTCCTCAGAGGCCCCCACTGTGGTTGAGGTTCTGGCTTTACTAGCTCTTTGGGTTTCCTTCTCTACACCCCACTTTCATCCAGCACTCCCCAGATACTTCCTGGCACCCAAGTCCTTGACTCAGGGTCAACCAGGGGGAAGGGTGTTGGAGTGTTGCTCAGACTAAGATATTGGTGGTCACCTGGCAGTGAGTACTGGGCACTGGGTTTGTTGGGTGGTGGAACGGAGGATGCCCTCGCCTACAGGTGTGTCTCTTCCTCTCTGCTCATTTGCTTCTCCCTTTGTTTCCTCCCCACTCTCTGTCCCCCCCCCCCCCCTTGTCAGTGCTGGGGATTTCCTGTCTGCCACAGACACTCTCCTCTACCTGCAGAGGCCACTAACTTCTCACCCCCCTCCCTAGCCATTCTCAAAGCTCCTCTTGGCTTCTCTAAAAGTTAGTGCTGAGTCCGAGCTTCCTGCTCTAGAAAATAACCATGAGAGTCCCAGACACCCCTCCTCAAGGACAGATTTATCCCTCCTCCCTCCCTCCCTGCTGGAGTCTCAGCTCTCTGAGGGCAGAACTGGCCTTGTGTGTTTTCAGTTCCTGCTGTTGAGCACAGGGAAGCTGGCGGAAGGGATTTGCTCCTATCAGCTGCGTCCACTTGCTCTCATGCTGGGTAGTGGGTGGCATGGGTGGCACGTCTCTTTTTTCACAGGGCCTTTACTTTCTTGCTGTTTTCAGCAGGAGTTGGTGGGGGAGTTTGGAGCTTGCCTGCAGGGTCTTCAGAACCAAGACTATAAGGGAGGCTCCTCACCAGCTCATGGCGCAGGTGAAGTGGGCAGCTGTGGAGTCAGGGTGCTGGTCAGGTTCTTGTTAGTGTTTCATTGCAGAAGGTCCATGCTGCCTAGAATCTCGGGATCACAGGCCAGGCGCCAGGTGGCTCCTAGTCGTGAGGAACCGGCTCACTGGTATGTGTTTTCCTTAGACTGATATTCATTCCCTCACCCCAGGGTCTGGGGATCAAACCCAGGGCCTCTCACATGGACGCCAGCCTCTGAAGATGATTTTTAACCCAATTTAGATTTTGGAGTACACTCAGAGTCACTTATTACCAACATGGTGCTAGGGGTGGGGGAGGTGGAAAGGGCAGGGCTGTGCCCATCCAGAGTCTCTCAGTGAGGGTGAAGGTGGGGGGGTGGTTCAGTGCTCCGGCCTCTAGGTCTCAGGGTCACCAGGGCCTCCTCCAATAGTATTAGGGGACCAGATGCTACTGGGGTCCAACAAGCTAGCCACATGCTCCACTTGAGCTGTCTCCCTGGCCCCTGCCGGTAGTTTTAAAGCTTAGTATTGTTTTACATATTATTTGAATGCACAAAGCTCCTGTTTTTGTTGTTGTCCTCTTAAGTGTCTCTTTTAATTTAATCAATTAATTTTTTGGTGGGGGAGATATTTCCCAAATGATTTTCAAGGGGTTCCACCCATATTTGCGAACCAACCAGGCTGGTGCTTCAGTGCAAGGGCCGGAGGCTGTGGTGCTGCTGGGGCCCTGCTGGCTCCTCTCTAGTTCTGGAGCCTCCAGAGCTACATCTGGTGATGCTCAGGGGACCAGGTGGTGCCAGGTGTCAAACCCGAGTCAGTCTCACGGTAGGCAGTCTTCCTAGGCACAGTACTATCTCCTGGCCCCTGTCATCTCTTTTTCAAATGAACCACTTATTTTGGAATTTTTAACTACCAGTGAATTTTAAGGAGAGGGAGATTTGAAGTCTCACAGATACTTAGGAAAGGAAGGCAGGGGGTCGTGGAGACAGAAATTAGACGGGGTGTAGCTACAAACTAAGGAATATCAGTGGTTGCTGGATCACCAAGATCTAGCAAATGTCTTCCCTAGATCCTTGGAAGGAACAAGCCATTGTCAATACTTTGGTTTCAGGTGAGCTCAGGTCCATAGCTCAGTTCCCAGCTTTTGTTGCCTTGGATATTTGTTGTTCCTTTTCTAGGGTAAAGGATCATTCTCTGTCCATCCTCTCCCTCTGATTTACTTTGCTCAGAACAATGCTCTTCAGATCCATCCACATAGCAGCACATTGCATAATTTCATCTTTTCCTATAGACAAATAGTATTCCATAATGTATAAATAACCTTTTCCTTATCCATCTGTTATCATCTGTTTATCATACGTTCTTGGGTACGTGGGTTGTTTCCAGTATTTGACTTCTTCTTTCTTTCTTTTTTTGGGGGAAAGGGTTATTTGTTTGTTTGGGGGCCACACCCAGTAATGGTCAGGGTTTACTTCTGGCTCTGTGCTCAGCGAGCACTCCTGGTGGTGCTGGGGGGACACATGGGATGTTGTGGATCAAACCTGGGTTGACAGCATAAAAAGCAAATGCCCTACCTCATCAGTCCCAGAATGTTTTAGTGAGCAATAATTGTGCCTCTGATAAACCTCCTTGGCTGTAATATGCCACTATACCCAGTTCATTCTCACATTTCTGATCTATAAATTGACATGCATGGATGTTCTTGTACTATAGTTTGCAGGTGACATTGCATCAAAAAAGAGAGATGTCAGAGGTGGGCTCCAAGGTGAAGTTATACTCAGGTACTATTGGGCCAAGGTATAATGCCACAAAGGCATGACCGTGTCAAGGTGTACCCACATCAGACACACAGGTGTGTGCCTGCTATTGACAGGTGAAGCTAAGATGCGGTTACATCCAGGTTCATTGAAGCCATGTTATCTCAAGGTACAGTTTGGGGGAGCTGTGAGGTACAGGGAAAAACTATGGAAGCTCACTAGTATTATCATTCCTAATATTATTGACTTCTCTACAGATCACCAATCTATACGTATCGAGGAT